ACCAATAAGCCAGTCATATAGTAAGATGCGCGTGTGGCGCAGTGGTTAGAGGTGCTCTGCGTCGCACACGAGGTCAATGGTTCGATCTCGCGCTCATGGCTCACCAAGCCATCCATCCCTCCGGGGTCGGTAAATTGGTACCAGACAGACCTTAGAGTTGTCTGGGAGGATAAGCAGCACTGACTCGGTTCAGCGGGAGGCCACCGCGGGTCATTGTAAAGGCCAGATATGCATTCAATCACCTCAAACGAAGTTAAAAATTGAAGTTGAATGCATGGCGCATCACTCAGGGATTGATCAACGCCGAGAGCTTTATCCTTTTATCCTTTATAGTAAGATCAGACTACAGGCGGACGGAACGAACTGTAGAGCGGACCTCGCGTCAAACCCGACTCAGACAGTATGAAACTCGCATAGGCCGCCATGCTCGAATCAAAGCCCCACCATGGACGACGATGGTGAGAAGAAGAACCGAACGAATGTCCTGCGCACAATTCGTGAAGACGGACTGTCGAGGTATCCCAGTCAGCCGCAGTGCTAAAATGGTATTCCCATCTATCCAAGGATGTGATATTGAGCACGGGTGGCACAATGGTTAGAGATGTTGTGTGACACACACGGTTGATCAGTCGATGGTCAATAGTTCGGTTCGGTCCTCCTTCCAGAACTCACCAGGCTTTCCATATCTCCGGGCCCACTGAAATGGCACCAGACTCCCCAGGGATGATAGTAGCTCTGACTTGCTGCATCGTCAAGCCACCGTCAACCACCTCCAGCCATTCCCGATGAAGTCGATGTATGACACATCCATCAGGGACTTGTCAACACCGGAAGCTTTGTCCTCTCATCCTTTAACCAGAAACGTTGATCAGAATGCAAAAGTTAGGTGTCAGCAGGAGTTGAACCCGCGTCGCACCATTTGGCACGAGCCCTCAAAAATGGTGCGACGCGGGTTCAAGTCCCGCGTAAAGCTCAAACTTTTGCAAGGAACTCAGTATTTTTTGATATGTCGTCATATCATCCAATTTATTTAGGTCAAAAAAGCGTACTGTAATTATTTCTGAACTAATTCGTACCAGTTGATGGAAACAGGATGTCGGATAATTCGCTTAGCAATTTCGGTGCCGTGGACCCACCTCTGCGTCCCTAACCCGCAGCGTGGGAACGCATTGCATGCAATATTGCATTATTTCAATCGTATTATTGCTGTCATTTTAGTATTTATTTAACAACAGTAATACAACTGAAACAATACAATAATACATTCAATGTGTGCCAATGCCAGAAGTTAAAGATACACAGGAGTTGGCTACACGGCCTGAAAAGCCTAAGAACATCAGAAAACGGAAGAAAACCACGGTCCAGAGACTCCTTATCCGATATTGAAACCGTACCACTACACCACCGAAAACTATCTAGGCCATCGACTGAAATAAGATCGTGACAACGTGAAAACCACGAGGCGTGTGGCTCTGATGAGGCGCGCGAAACCGCCGAAACGTACGAGCCTCGGAATGGCTCAAAACATTCCCTCTGAAGATTACTTGACTATCAGCCAATCACCTGTCACCTGTCGTCCCGCTGATCGTCGAGTGACTCGAGCGGGTACCAGCAACTCTTCCATTTTTCCCTATCGCGTGCAAGAGTAGCCAGTGGGTCCTCCTCACTCTAAGAATTCACTGAGCATCATATCTTTCTTCCATCGCTTTCGTGATGAAATCGGACTAGCGGGTCGGTGGCCTTCCTTTAGAGCGCTTGACGTCCCGAGGAATCCAGTCGGTAACGGCTCTCGTCCATCAGCTGTCGCTGAAGCGCATCAAGTGTCCGGCCCACATTATTTTCGATATGCTGGCGTAGAGAACGGCGTCTCTGATTTTCGATCGTTGACGTAGGTCGGAACTCGTATCCTTTCACTCATTTGCGAGATACGGGATTCTCCTAGCATCAAATTCAGCCAATACCTAGGCCGATATTGTTCGGAAGAAAAAGGTTCAAAGAATAAAAGAAGCTGCGGAATCAAATCAAATAAACAGAATCTGACAGAGCAGAGTAGACACTCGTCAAGACGACGAGAAAATGAGTCTGATACATTTCGGTTATTAGGGGACAAATGTTCTACCTCATTTCCTGCACAAGAATTTTTCATAGGAGTGTCAGTATTCGTGCGAATTCTGGCTTCAGCACCACTTCGCCGGTTTTCGAAAGGATCCTTCCAGTACGCTGTAGCATCCAGGATAAAAATCACGTTCCATACCCGCCGTTTGCCTTCGTTTTTATCACGCGTATAATTCGCTGGAAGCACGAGAATCATCTAAACGTCTGATGGAACTTTCGTAGTATCTAACACAATCGGCTTATCTGGAGCTTTTTTCAAAACGGAGAAGAAAATTTCCAATTGAACATCCACATCTCTAACACTTTCGGCCATCGATCAGTGGGCCCCACCGCCGGTAAACAAGCTCGCCGAAACATGTTAGACTCAATCTTATTTTTCCTGCTAAACGACAGTTCCACAGAAAGAAAGCACAGCGTTCGATTTACTTAAAGTTACGCTAACAAATAATTACTAATAATATAAAGAAAGGGCTCTAGTTGCCGAGGGTCACGCGAAAATCTTTCCTTTCTCCAACTACGCTATCAAAAGAGCTTTTCCCAAAAAACCCAACACATTTTGAACTCTTCGAGACTTGTGCTATCGAAAGAGTGCTAGCACTTCAAGGAAAAAGTTCTGTCCAGAGAAATACAAGTGCGATGAGAAAAAAACACGTGATTGGCGCGAAAATGACTTTATTTTGGACTTTACAGCGTTATAAAAGGGTGCTTTGAAAAACTAACCACGTGTGGCTGCAGTCAGAGATCTGAGCTTTTGAATGATTACTACACTCCCATGAAAAGTTTCCTCTCCATGCGAATGGGATCGGCTTTTTCACTTGCCGCCGTCTGAACATATAAGCACCGAAAAACGTTTGAACAATAATAAAACTGCGGGAGTTCAAATAAAGTAAGTGGAATTTGACATGGACACGGTGAACGTTTCTCGAAACGGCGAGAAAATGAGTTTCTAGCCACCTCTAGAAGCTCTATTTCTGATCTATAACTAATATCATATAAGAGTTACCTTAAAAACCTCATGAAATAAAAAAAAAAGACTCGTCTTTTCTCGATAATATCGAGCTGGACAGGATTAAAATTTTCAATAGTGTAGCGCCGTGGCAAAAACGATTGCGTCAGCCGGGATTCGAACCCAGACCTCACTCTTTCCGGAAAGAGCATACGCTCTCGGAAAGAATGAGATCTGGGTTCGAATCCCGGCTGACGCAACCGCTTTTGCACAGCACTCTACACTATTGGATATTTTGTAACGGTCAAATAAAATCATTTCTGATTGATTAAAATTTTCGAAAATCGCCGTGGACAGACGAGTAATGGCGACGAGTACATAGTACAAAAATTCGAATAAAATTTTAGAAAAAATAATTTCCAAAACAAATACTCTTAAATTTGGAAAAAAAAAGATATTTATTAAAATATCGGCGATGACAAAGTATGGTGTCGAAAGACGTCAGACACAAGCCAAAAGCCAGACTCTCACTGAACTCCCTCGACAAGAAAAAAGGGATGCACCCCATGAGAGGACGATGGGGTGGCCCGGGTCTTCCCACTTCAGGAGAACAGCTCCAAGGAAGCCGAAACCACCGCCAGCCGTCGATCCCCAAAAGATAAGAAGAGGAGACACCGGCCTCGGGAAGGCCTTGAATACTCGGACAGTAGGGATTCGTAAAATTGCGGACCACGCAAAATTGCAGACTTCGCCGCAATTCTCGTGTGTAGCAGGGTTTCCCTAGGAAATACAACTTGTTCTCTCCGATTTGTCTTTTCGTTTAGAACGCTCTTCGATTCTGGTAGATCATTCCCTGCGACTTCTCCTAGATCCTTACCTCTATTGTGAGAATAGTGGGGGACTTGTTGGTGGCGCAGTGGTTGATGCGCACGTCCATTACGCCTGCAATCTCTGGTTCGTTCCCGCGCTCTGCGCTTATCGGCGAGAATTGTCGTCCCTTCGGTAATTGGTGCTGCCAGAGTTTCCTTTTCGTCCTGGGTGAGCAAGGGAATTGCCTGAGATGGTGGATCTTCGTAGATCACCCGTGATGGGTCTGGTCGAGACCATGAATGTTTTTTGATTCGCCTCTATTTAGCTACGATTCGAATCGAATGCGCATCGCGTGTTTTCCAGATGAATTCATTGGCGCCAAAAATCGTTCATACTTTATATCCTTTTTTTTGCCCCATGGGATTCGCAATTCCCTTCGTAATCTATTCCTCCTTTGCTCTATCTGATTTGCCTTTGATCTACAGTGATAGGGACCGAATGACAGGGTAACATTTCCTCTGTATCCACGAGATCTAACAGCTCAGTAGATCACGTAGAACAGAATCTCGAATTGACTAAAGATAGTAGCTGTCTCGTATGTTTACATTTTCGTAAAAATTGACTTCGTAGTTCGATAGATCACACTGAGAGACCCAGATAGGACTTGGGTTCAATTACCCAAGTTTGAGGCCAGTATGAGTCAAAATTTCGAACTAAACTGAGATCGTCGACGTCTCATAGTCTCTGAAACTGTGTCGAGAATCCTCTCGTACTCCGTATAGATCACAGGAGATCGGGGGGTAGATTAAGGTCAAAGGTCATGTAGATCAATAATGAAACTGGATGTAGATCACCACGTGTCGTATTTTTCCCATTTCAAAAATTTACGCGCAATCCATAAGAGGCAGGGTAGATCAAGAGTTGCGGATCAAGATCAAAGTTCGTGTGGAATAGCCCATCGGATCGTATGAAGATCAACGCCCTGTCGTGTTTTCTCTACATTCATCGAAAATTTACTTGTATTTCGTGTAAATCGAGATCAGGAAATGTAGATCAGAACTCAGGATAGTGTAGATCAATTTTTGTACTGAGTGAGGACCCCATTGATGTCGACTGGTGTGCAAAATTTTGACGTCAGGCGGGAATTGAACGCGCATCTCTAACCCTTTTCGGGAGCGTGTGCTTCAACCATTTGCACTACCGACGCCTGTTTGACGGTTTGAGATTCAGGGGAGGTGGGGCAGACCTTTCAGAGTTACCAGTTAGAGATGCGAAGGCCGTGAGTCCACTGTCGCGAAAAGGTTAAAAGATTTCGTAGATGCCAAGATGGGTTCAGAGATGACGTCACTTTTAGCGAAGCTTTTCCCCATATAAAATCAAATAAATATGATTTGTCTAATGTTACGCCTCACTGAGCTGTGTAGTCACGTGACCTACGTATCCATTGTCCGTTTCGTGTTTCCAGTTATTTCTGGAAGGCGTGTTGCCTAGTGGTTAGAGGTGGCATGACGCACATGTGGTCCATGGTTCGATATAGCGTACGCAGCTCACAAGCCTTTCATCCATCCGGGGTCATCGAGGTGCTACCAGGCTTGTCTGGGAGGAGAGCAGCACTGCCTTCATACATCGGTAGACCATCGCGGGTCATTTTGAAAGCTAGATACGCATTCGATCACATAAAAGGATGCTCGACGGAGTCGAATGCGTGACGCATCTTTGAGGAAATATTCAACTCCGAGAGCTTTATCCTTTTCTTACGGGCTTAACCCTTTGGGGACTATGAGGGTCTTTTGATGCTCACCGCACGACGTCGAATCTCACTCAGCTATTGTAATGGCGGCGTGGCGTCTCGTGGGAAAGCCGGCAGACTGCCAGACACATACGCAGAGACTTGCAGATGGTCTCTACCTGACTGTTGCGCAAGCGACGACGCGGCGCCGCCTGCTAACAGCGCTGGTCCTAAAAGGGTTAAAAACTTGTCCCACAAAATGCCTATATCTTTTGTTCACACCACTCGGTAATCAGAAGTCGTGAGATAAAGCACAGAGCTCTCGCCGTTAATCAGTCGCTAAAGGACGCGCCACGCATTTGATTTCATCAAGCATCGTTTGCGATGTTTCAATGGATATCTGGCCTTCAAAATGATTCACGATGGTTTACAGATGTGTCCAGACAATGCTGTATCCTATCAGACAGGGTATCAAATCGCCGATGCTGGAGGGGTGGAGAGCTTGGTGATCTTTGGGTGCGGAATCGAACGAACCATCAACATTTGTAGGTCGGAAAGAATCTCTAAACACAGTGTCGCCTCCTGCGATTTCAGTCATGGGAAGGATTCTGAAATGTATCGTTAACCGGTTGACTTCTGCGGACCCAAACTGGGCGTGTCCGCCAGCGTGGGAACGACTTTATCTCTTTTAGAGTAGTCGCTGACTACAATACTACTTTTCGTTGCAAGGTCGGTCCCACGCGAATAATGTGAAATCTTTGCTGCGGGTCGTGCAATGAAAAGTAGTGCTGTAATCGACGACTACTCGGTGTAGAAGAGATGAAGTCGTACCCACGCTCGTGGACACGCCCAGTTTGGGTCCGCGGGAGTCAACCGGCTAAAACGATATGATGCTGTGTGAAATCTTCTATGAAGTTTTCCAACCACGTGTTTTCTTTACATGGATGCTCAGTGCGAGGATCTCCGTGATCTCGGCCTGTCGACTTTCTTCCTCATTGACGTCTCCGCTCCTTCCGAAAGGTGCACTGGCTTACATAAATGGTATGGACGCGTAAAAGAGTAAAGAATGCTTTTCTCTCTGGTTACATTCCGTTTTTTTTAGGTCAGTGGGTCGATTCCCCGAAAAAGAAGTACTTCGATGTTAACAATCCTTTCACGGGAGAGCTACTCTACAAGACCGTGAACTGTGATACCGACGAAGCGGAGAAGGTAAGCCTGATTTTCTGGAAAGCAGAGATATTCAGCTACCACCATGATCGTTGGGGAGGCTTCAATTTCCAATGGAGTCACGACGAATCAGTTCTGGGAAACAAAGGAGCGTATTGTAAAGTACTATTTAGCATGTCTTTCGATTCAAGTGTTTTCTTAAGACCACAGCTCAAATTTCAATATGCCTGTTAATCAATTCTGAGCCACGCATGTCAGTTGTCTGTCAAGGAGGGCTGACTTATAGAGCCCAATACACGTGTTTCGATCTTGCGATCTCGTCAGTCGGCCAGTTACCCTTTCTCGTCTTTTGCTAATCTCCGTGGGTGCTCCAGTCCCACACCATATATGATATTATGATATGATAAATCTGAAAGACATGATATTTTGAATGTACCAGCCAGGAGCAGTCGAATGTACAACACTATGTTCGGTGAGATTTTCAGTCGACATAGAGTGTAAAGCGTTCGTCGTCGCTAACTCTTATTGTGGGGGCTGGAGCACCCACAGAGATTAACAAAAGACGAGAAAGGGTAACTGCGCGACTGACGAGATCGCAAGATCGAAACACGTGTATCGGTCTCTATAAGTCAGCCCTCCTTGACAGACCACTGACATGCGTGGCTCAAAAATGATTATCAGGCATGCTATTTAACACTTTTCTTGCTCTCCATTCCACTACGGTATGCTTCATCGCTATTGTGGGTTAGAAACGTAGACTAGGCGAGTTCTTTGAACCTTTGACTTTCCAAGAGTTGGGTCCACGGAAGTCAGGGGCTTAATTAGAGTTCTTTCTCTGTTTCGAAAAGGCATTCCAAGTGCTTGGTGCTACTTCAGTACTCCTCAGCTTACTCTACCCGCTCCTATGCTTTTCGTATATATATATATATATATATATATATATATATATATATATATATAACTGATGTTATCTTTTCGTCGTTGCTGCAGCGCCCTAGAAGGACTTCTAGAGACTAAGTGAAGTATCGAATTCACCGTTTTTTAAGCTATTGAATCACCGTTAAAAGTCTAGTGAAGAGGCTTTGTACAGCGAGAAAGACCTCTGAATACGCGTGTACAATATATCGTACTCGTCGTCCTCAAAGCACGAAAAAGATCTTCTTCAGGTACTTGTAGAAGTTGTACACAGTCTTCACACAATTCACGTTCGATGCCAACTGCTGCTAGTAAGTAACTAATGAGTTCATGGCGAATTCGTCCCTCAAAGCTGAAGGAGACCGATCCGAGAACCTTGAGGGCGATGAAGGTGGAAGAAATTGTGTCATTACGCCATCGAACTTCAGGAAAAAAATCGTGGAGATGGCAGTGACAATATTTTTCGGGTTTTTTCTCCAAAATTACCATTTGTTCCCTATATATTTCAGTCGAATCGCCGTTTCTTGAGCTATCGGATGGTTATCAAAGTCTAGCGAAAACACGCTCCTTAATGAGTTTGCGCGGTATACTGTACTCGTCGTCCCTGACACTATCGGACCTGAGGACCCTTGATCTCTGCGTCTCTAACTGACGATTCTGGACGGTCTGCTCCACCTTCTCTACATCTCTGGCCCCCTAGCGTGCTATTGTTAGACAATGCTTTACGCAACAGCCTGTCATTGTTAGACGCAGCAGTGTACCACTGTTGTATGCAGCAGCTGGGGTTAGAGATGCAGAGGAAGTGGAGCAGATCGTTGGAGTTCCGTTAGGATGCGGGGGCCGTCGATCCACATTCCAAAGGGGCTAAAGCGTTAACAGTTGATGTGAAAAACACTTTCGACGCAACAGTGATGAAGGCTATGTTGCCTTTGTAACATGTTGTTGGCTCTGTAACTGGTAAAAGTTTAAAAGATCTAGTGCAATTATTTTTCTTGTAGTGAATGAAAGGAAATATCCGGTTTTTACAGGCTGTTGCTGCAGCAAAGGAATCGTTTATGAAGTGGTCACTGGAGACCACACCGAAACAGCGAGGTGCCATACTGAGAAAATGGTATGAAATATTTGTAGAAAAGGAAAAACAACTGGCTGAACTTCTCACACTTGAACAGGTTCATAATAGAGTTCCTCCTATTTTTCTAGGGTGTTCAAGAAAGTTGAGTGATGTGCAGAACTTGAGAACCTCGGGCGGAAGTTGAACTTGCGTCTCACCCTTATCGGAGACGCATGCTATCCACTGTACTACGGAGACTCCCATTTCTTGTTGATCGTAGATATCGCGTAACCATCAGCTTAATTTGATTTAATGTCAACATCTGCTTACCAGGCAAAACCCGTTAACAACTGGATGCTGACAGGCCCAATGCGGACCAAAAAGAAGTGACAGCAGAACAAGAGTCCCCTTAGTGCAGTGGCTAGCACGCGCCCTTGAAAGGATGGGACCTAGGTTCGTTTCTTGTTCAAGGCTCAGTGGATATATAGGTCAACCCTTTAAGGCCAAACGGCATTTTTCGTGCCGTGCTGCGCGACTTTGAGTCTTACTCAGTTACTGTTATGGCAGAGTCGCGTCTCGTGATAAAGTAAGCGCAGACATCCAGACATGCATGCAGAGACGACGGCAGCGTTGCGTCTCGTGGGAAAGCGATGGCGCGACGCCGCTCGCCTATTAGCGTTGGTCCTCGAAGGGTTATCTAACTCTCTTCTAACGGTAGCTTTTTTCTGGATACTTTTATCGAGATACTCAACCCAGGGAAAACCTCTCATAGAAGCACGAGGAGAAATAAATTACTCGGCAGCGTTTTTCGATTGGTATGCGGGTGAAGCGAGGCGGATTTATGGACAGGTATGCAGCAACTTCGTGTATCTTTTTGTTTTCGGTATTTGCGATTTTATAAAATGTTTCAGGTTGTCGGTCCAGCTGTTCTAAACAGAGAGCATATTCATATCAGAGAACCTATAGGCGTTGCCGTCCTTATCACACCAGTGAGGTTTTTCTTCATCCATCACATATATGGCTTAAGCTAGTGGAATTTTAGTGACCGTTTCGGTACGACGTTGATTTTTTGCCCCACGCGCGGCACGGTCGGCTTGCAACTAGGGCGCGTTTTCCTAGCAACGTTGTAGTTTCGTAGTGGATTCAGAATTTTATCGCCCTTAGAAGGGGTGTTGTAATCATTAGAGGAGAAAATGTCACCAAAGAGACCTCAAAACAATCAATTCTTTGTTAAGATTCTTTGTTCTTTAGACTTTCTTTGAAATTGTATCCTGCTAATAAATCTAATCTTTTTTAGGGTATTGTGAAGCTGCCAATTGTTGATGGTGTGAGTATAAGCAAATGA